TCTTCTTCCTTCTGCTTTCTATTTCTTTTTCTTTTTTTTCTCTATCTTTTTTTTTCTCCCTCTCCCCTCTTCCTTTTTTTTTTAGCACCAAAGACTCCCTCTTGTATAATCTCCTTGGGTTTTGCCTTCTTCCTTATTTTCTTCCATTCCTTTTCCTTCGCTCTTCCTCCTCTCTTCTCTCTCTCTCTCTCTCTCTCTCTCTCTCTCTCTCTCTCTCTCTCTCTCTCTCTCTCTCCTCTACCCCCCCTCTTAACACACCCGAACCTTTCCCTCTCTCCCCTCCCCCTCCCCTACCCCCCCTCTGAACACCCTCCCCATCCGCTGAGTCAAGTTCACCTAAATCCACCTTCCTTCACCCCCCCCCCCCTCCCTCACCTTCATCTCACGGCCACTGGGGAGCCGCAGGTTCTTGGGTGGTTGTTCTTCAGGTGTTCCTTGGCGTAAAAGAAAGGGAGAGAGTGAAGCTGTGGGATTTTTTCTGTTTTTATTATCTCTCTCTCTCTTTCTCTGTCTATTTCTTACTCTCTCTATTTCTCTCTCTATCAATTTCTCTCTATCTCTATCTATCTAGCTATATATATCTTTCTCTCTCTCTCTCTATCTATCTAGCTATTTCACTCTATTTCTTCATTTCTCCCTCTCTCTCTTTCTCTCTATATATATCTATTTCTCTCTCTCTATTTCTTTCTTTCTCTCTCTCTCTCTCTCTCTCTCTCTCTCTATGCCTACTTACTAGACCGAGTATGACCTTAACATCTTAAAACAGTGAATAATAACATTTAATCACTTGTCCTTTACTTCATTCAATATTCATTAGATAGTTCACAAATTATTAGTTAAAACAGATATAGCATTTTTTTCTTTTAAATACTAAAAAAAAATATCTATATACCATTATCGTGACCATCACATAGATAACCATTTTTTTTTTTTTTTTTTTTCTGCTAAGCCACGTGTCTTCTCCTCTTACTTGTGACCTTGTTAGCATAAAAGTGAGCTGTTGTGTAGAAAGGTACACTGTCTCGACTACACATATCACATATTATATTGTGTCATTTTTTAAAAAGCTTTGGTGTATTCGTTTCCACATACTATTATTATTTATCGATTTTTTTTTTTATCCCTTCTTTAGGTATACATTATTAATCAACTTTTTTCTCTCGCATGTAAACCCCTGGATTAAAAAAAAGAAGAAGCTAATTCTGAGTTTCCTGTTTTATTAACAATTTACTGATTCTTTTGCATCAAGTTTTGTCGAACCGGTAGTGTACATTCACTTAAACAAACTTACCCTACATCTCCCTATAGAAAAAACGGTTCACTTGGGATCTAGACTTCTGAATATTGAGACAGATTGCACGAAAGTTGTACTCATGGAAGACTGCTGTTACGCCTAATAAAAGCAGCAATTGCAATTTATCACATAGATGACCCGTACCACCTAATACATAGCAGGTATTGTCCTAGTTATTGCAGCGACTTGATGTAATCTACCTGGATTTTTTTTTCAGTAACCAGTTCTGTGTATTTTGATTGGATCGTCATAATCCTCATGTTGTTTCTTCTTGTTTCTTTTCTTATTCTGACTTTTCCTTCCGGAAGAGAAGTTCTAAACAAAAAAATAATCATTTGAAAAAATCAAAGCATCAATAAGCTTTACTGAACTGATTAACTATATGAAGATAATCACATGTCCGTAAGCCTGCGTGTAATATCTCTCTTCTTTATCTCCCTAGCGCTTATTTTTTCCTCTTCTTTTCATCTTCCTCCTCCTTTCTTTCGCAGGCCTTTTATTTCTTCTCTTTTTTCACACAAATGGAAAATCAAATCAGAATCTTTTCGGCTTTCATCTCCTTCCTCTCATCTTACGTATTCACACGTTTCTAAATAACACATGAATCTCTTTCCATATGTTCAAACGGGACATACTAATATCTTTCATCTTTCATCTTTGTCTTTCATCTTAAACCGCGTACATTTTTACAGATTGGTTATTTGGTAGACGGAAAAGGACTTTAAAAAGAAAAACAAAAAGAAAAACTAAGACGATAAACAAAAAAAAAATGTGGTAGGGTGTGTTGTCTGTGGCAATGTCGAGGAGGGACTGAGGAAATGCCAATGATGTATATCGTTTATTTACGAAAGCTGACTAACGCATGACACGTAGCATTGCAGATAATCCTCATTCTCGGTTTTATAAATCGTTTTTATTTATTTTTTAATCGTCGTATCATAATGTCGTATAATTCATTATTTTGTTCATTCATTAACTTCTACTCTAAATTTCTTTTCATTCATCATCTCGTAGTGTAACTAAATGGATTTCAAAATTTTCTTCCTTCGCCGTCGTACAACGTAACTAACCCCCCCCCCCTCCCACACACACATTCAGTGCTCTTTTCATTCATCAAATTTGACGTATAACTTCATTCATAAATTCCCCACCTAAACAAAGGAGAAGGGAAGGGGGGAGGGAGAAAGGAAAGAGGAAGTGAAGGAGGAGATGAAGGAGAGGGGACGGGGAGGAAGGGAGAAAGGAGGGGGGAGGGGAGGAGGGAAAAAAGAAGAGGGGAGGGAGAGGTGGGAAGAAAGGAAAGAGGGGAGGGAGGGGAAAAGGAGAAAGGAGGGGGGATGGGAGGAGGGGATGAAGGAGATGGGAAGGGTGGATAGGTGGGGAAAGAAAGGAGGGGGGGGGGAAGGGGAGCTGCGAAGAAAGGTAGAGAGGAAGGGGAGGATGGGGAGAAAGGAGGGAGGAGGAGAGGTGGGGAGAAAGGAGAGGTGAAAGGGAGGTGCGAAGAAAGGTAAAGAGGAAGGGGAGGATGGGGAGAAAGGAGGGGGGAGGGGGATGGGAGGTGGAAACGCCAAAAACAAAAAAAACGACCCCCGTTTTCTATCCAATATTCCCACGTGTCAGTCGAGTTAAAGGACACTTCCATTCAACGGTCATTCCATTTACCAAATTACACATCTCATGACTTCCTCCGCTTCCCATGAGAGGCTCCGCGCTGCATCGGAAGGGCAGCATCCACGGAGATGACTCTCTGAGGGGGGGCGGGATGCTTAAGGGCAGCTCCTTGCTTGCAGGTGGTGTGGCTTCGATTCTGGGTTGCTGTTATTGTTGTTTTTGTTATCGGAACTGTTACCGTTATATGTTTTTTTATCATCATCATCATTATCATTATCATTATCATCATCATTGTCATTATCATTATCAATATCATTATCACCATTATCATTATCATCACCATTATCATTATCATCATCACACACACAGGGCTGATCGCGGCCTTACGCACTCAGCGCTTACTCAAGATTTGTCTCGTGTGTATCGTATCTGCGTTACTGTTGTGCTCTTCAGAAGTAAAAGAGTTAAGGTCCTCCTCTAAATAGCCTTTTATAATCATTATCATTATCATCATTATTATCATTATCATTATCATCATTATCATTATCATCATCATTATCATTATCATTATCATTATCATCATCATCATCATCATCATCATCATCATCATCATCATTATCATTATCATTATCATCATCCTCATCATTATCATTATCATTATTATCATTATCATCATCATCATTATCATCATCATCATCATATTCATTATCCCCAATATTAACTCATATTATTATTATCCTCCTCCTCCTCATCATCATCATCATCATCAATCATCATTATCATTGTTATTATTGCTGTTATTGTTGTCTTCAGTTTCACCATTACTGATACTACGACTGTTATCATTATCATCATTATATTACTACACAAACTGCTATCATCATCACCAACATAACCACTACCATGATCATCACCTTCACCATTATCAGCATCACTATCATCATCATCACATCGTCATCACGTATTCCCTTCCATCTCCTTTCGTTAAAACTATACGCAGAAAAAATACAGGAAAAAAAAATAGTTAAAAAAGAAAGAAGATGGGAAAAATATAGTGAGGAGAAAAAAAAGTAAAGATGAGAAAAAAAGGAATAAAAAAATAAGAATTAAAATAGTAAAAAGTGAAAAAAGAACAAAGAAAAAAATAGTTAAAAAAAAGAAAAAAAAAGGAAGAGGAGAGAAAAGAGTAAGGGAAAAAAAGTACAAAAAAAAAAAAAAGTGCAAAGAAAAAAAAGAAAGAAAGAGCAAAGAAAAAAAAAACAACAAGAAAAGGAAAAGAAAGAAAAAATATAAGATTCATTCCGTACAGGCGACACCATCACTTCTTGGAAAATATTTTTTTGCTCTCAAATTAACTTTCTGGAATTCTCGTTCGTCTTTTGTTTTGCTTTCTATTTTACTGGAGAGCTGTGATTAATTTTTTTATTGGTGGCGGGGGGTGGGGGGGGTTGTACAGAAAATTATTATTATTATTATTATTAGTGCACGTGTGTGTTTGTGTTTGTATATTCGTGTGTTTGTGTTTTTGTGTGTGTACGTGCGCGTATGTGTGTGTGTGTGTGTATGTTTGTATGTTCGAGTGTTTGTGTCTGTGTGTGTGTACGTACGCGTACGTCTGTGTGTATGTGTGTGACCACCGCCCGATCACCACCACATTGACATTAATCCCCATCACCCTTTCCTTCATCTTTTCCCTCTTCCCCTCCTTTTCCTCTCCCCCCCCTTTTTTCCCTCTTTATCTCCTTCTCCCTTTTTTCCCTTTCCCTCTCCCTTATCTTCCATACCCTCACCACCCCTTTCCCTTACGCCCATTCCTCCCACTCACCACCTCTTCCTTCTTCTTCACTCTCATCCCCCCCCCCTTCTTTTCCCACCTTCCTCCCCTCCCTCTCCCTCATTCCCCCTTTCCCTTACCACCCCTTTCCCTTACGCCCATTCCTCCCACTCACCACCTCTTTCCTCCCAATCTTTTCCCTCTTCTTCTCCCTCATTTCCCCCCCCCCTTCTTTTCCCACCTTCCTCCCCTCCCTCTCCCTCATTCCCCCTTTCCCTTACGCCCATTCCTCCCACTCACCACCTCTCTCCTCCCTTCCAGGACGAATTCGGCGAGCTGACGTGGGAGAGGGTGAAGGAGGAAGCAGGTTGCAAGACGACCGAGTTCACCAACCAGAAAATCTACGACGACAACCTGATCATACGTCTGGCAGAGGCGTGTGCGAGTATCGTGGGCCAAGGCGATCACCTGGATTACCTCAGGGTCTTTGGCAGGTGGGTTGTGGGGGTGGGGGGGGTGAGGGGAGGTGGAAGGGAGGTGTGGGGGGGGGAAGGTGGGTTGGGATGGTGGATAGGAGATGGGTTGGATTGGTCTCTTTCTTTCTCTCCAACCCACATCTCTCTCTCTCTCTTTCTCTTCGCCCCCTCCTCTTTCTCTCTCTCTCTCTCACTCTCTCTCTCTCTTTCTCTTCCTCTCTCTCTCTCTCTCTCTCTCTCTCTCTCTCTCTCTATCTTTCTCTTCCTCTCTCTCTCTCTCGCTCTCTCTTTCTCTCCAACCCACATCTCCCTCTTTCACTTTCACTCTCTCTCTCTCTCTCTCTCTCTCTCTCTCTATCTATCTATCTATCTATCTCTTGTTATTATCATTATCATCATACAATTTTCTTAGAGTTTTAACATCCGACATCTCTTAGATTCTTCTTTAATGTAAACAGATTGTATAAAGACAAGATATTCATACCAAATTATGTAATATTCCCTTACTATTCTACTGACTACACGAATGTAAAAAGAAAGACGGCAGAGAGAAATAATATATACATATATATATATTTTTAGATATAGGCTTCATATACTCCTTAAGCAGTATAATTGCATTAACTAAAAGCTTAAAAAAGAAAACGCCAGAAACGTGACTTCATTTAGGCCTCTTCTTAAAAGACACGTAGGCATACTCTTCCCAGTGCCTCCCAGTCGTGACAGCTAGAATGAGTCTTATCTTAAGCTTCATCTCGACCTTGTTTCCCAAGTTTGACCTTGTTTCTTAGGCGTGGCCTCTAGATTTAAGTTCAGTTTCACTACGGTTTAAAGTTGACCTTGCTACGGTCTTATGTTTGAACTTTCTTCAGTCTGATGTTTGGCCTCGATTTAGTTTGATGTTTGACCTCGATTTAGTCTGATGTTTGACCTCGCTTCAGTCTGATGTTTGACCTCAATTTAGTCTGTTTGACCTCGCTTCAGTATAATGTGAGACCTCGCTTCAGTCTGATGTTTGACCTCGCTTCAGTCTGATGTGTGACCTCGCTTCAGTCTGATGTTTGACCTCGCTTCAGTTCAGTCTGATGTGTGACCTCG